GAAATTAATCTCTCAAATATTCCACAATAACCTAGATCATGCACCGACCACTAGATTCAACAAAATAGATTGAATAAGAAAAGGTTGCGTTACAACTGACAGTCGTTAGTTCGTAAGTAACGCCGATCTTGATGTGTTAGAATTAGGTTTGCAAGCTTCCAGAGAATTGAAGAATCGATTTTTGCGGAAGCAGTACGAAAAGAGAACGTAAAACTGAATCGTATTCAGTTTCTCTGGGGACCACGACCTTTATATACCTGAGGGTTAGTACAATTCTATTTCGGTCCTTTAACGAAATAGGAATTATATAATGGTCTCTACACTTAATATCTATAATTAGTTGATACCTCAATAGTCAATTATTTACAATCAAAACCACATTTGAAATTGACTTTACAATTGGACTGCTGTACATATTTTTTTTTACATATTAAGCCCACAAAGACCACATTTGAAATTGACTTTACAATTGGACTGCTGTACATATTTAATTTTACATATTAAGCCCACAATAGAAAATTAAATCCAACATTTTCAACATGGGTTATACTTACATGCATGTCTCCCCACACTTAAGGATGCCAATTTCGATTTCCTCTATAGCCATTCATGCATTTTGATTCCAATTGTTGATGTATTTGCCAATGACTTGAAACAAAAAAACCCACCTAAAGTTTAATTATCCCTAAAGAATGAAATTGGTTTTAATTACTCACAATATCACACGCCCCAGTTACCAGCATATATTCACCTAAGATGCTCAAAGAAAAACCCATCTCTTTTGCCTATCAAAGAGGACAATCATGACATGAAAAAGCATCTATTCGACATCTAAAGCCCACATTCATCAAAGCAGTAAATGGGAATCCCCATCTTTCAGTTTTTACATAAAGAATGGGCATGCTCGATGCATTTGGCAGATGAAACCACAATACTATCAGTTCTGGTAAGATTTGATAGAAATGCCATTTACCCAAGAACTGTAGGTCCAAAAACAGTAGATAACTTGACATATAATTACAAGAACAGATGAGCTGTCATTTCAAGCATGCATTACAAGGTGAGAAGAAATTAAAAATGTCTTTGCGAGACAATAATCTTACAACTGAGCGTGCCCTGTGAAAAAAGGACAGAGAGGGACTGAACTTTGCAATTCAAGGAATCAAACACTTCAAGACAAATTCTAAGCATACCATACGGTAGAATATAATTTATTCATTCAAGATTTTAATGCATTCAATTTCAGGATTAGCCCTTTTAGTGCGATGACTTGCAGACAACTCCACAAGATTCTAAAGGTAGAATAGGTTCTATTCCTTACATATCACACCTGAAGATGCGTAGTATTATTTCAAGGCTAAGGATATCTTGATTAAACCATACAGCTGTGTTCAATTAACTTCCATGCACTGCATTAAGCAACATTCAGCTTTGCATCAGAACTTAATAACTCAATTTCAGTAGACCTCAATTAAAAAAAGATTCTGCACTAACACTCAATGTATTATATACCTTCTTTTCTCTCAGTAGACTTCTGTATTACAAGCAAAAATGGGCAGATAGAATTAACTTAACAACTCTATTCGGTTAAAGGTTCGTTACTTTTAAAGAGAAGCAGCCACACGCGTTGCAGAATTGGAAACCGCGCAAAAAAGACGGGACGCATAGAAGAGCGATGGACAATTTCCAGGAGTACAAATTGGGTCTTAAAGCCCTATCTTTAAACGCTCGTGATTAGCCACAAATTTGTAGCCGTAAGCCCAAGTTTTTAGTGTCGAAGGCTAAAGCCCAATGCTATATTGGGCAATGCAATATAGGGGTTTGGGAAATATTATGCAATAACAATCCAAATACGCATGGGCTTTCTGCAAATATAAGGCCTTTCTTTATTATTTATTAAGCCCAAAATAACAATCCATGAAAAAAGGGAAATATTTTATTTGGGAAATTATTAAATAATTCAGTAATAATTGTGAAGATAATGAGTCTAGAGGAAGGATAAGTCTAAAACCCCTAATATTTAAGTATTGAGATTTATCTTTTTTGTGAATTTTTTGAGCATTTCTCTTTTTTTTATCCATTTTTTCTCTCCTATCATTTACTTTTTAATAATTAATTCTCTTTTCATTTTCATGAGTTTTAAATTCATTTAATTATGGCAATTTAAAAATTTAAATATTTCAATTATATGTTTTATATTTTCATTATTTACATATGCTATTAGTTTTGATTATATTCTTTTATTTTTTGTTATTAGTTTTTAAATTCAAATCAAATATGCTATTTATTTTTTTGGTATAAATCAAATATGTGATAGAAAAATAATACAATATCTAAATTTTTAAATTTTCATAATTTACAAATATAAAAATTTTTATTTTTATATAGTCTAAACTTCAAATCAAATATAGTATATTTAGAACTTTAATAATTTGAAAAAATGTTAAAAAAAACCACGTGTTTCAAAAATACACATTATTTTTTATTTGTTTGGTAATGATTTTTAATATTTGAGTAAATTATTAGGTATAAAATTTAGTTTTTTTCTCATGATAACTAACCTATCAATGTTCAAGAATAGTCTCGTACATTTTAAAAACAATAAGATAAGATAATGAGTAGTAGTATTCTTCTTTTTTTTTTTTCTCTCTCTCTCTTTTGATTTTCAGTTTGTTAGTCAATTATAAGAATAGTCTCATACATTTTAAAAACGATAAGATAATGAGTAGTAGTATTCTTCTTTTTTTTTTTCTCTCTCTCTCTCTTTTGATTTTCAGTTTGTTAGTCAATTATAAAGATTCAAACTTAGTTTTTTTTTTCTTATGATAAGTTGAATATTTTCAATTCGATAATATTTGAGATCTTCAATTCAATTTATTGTTTGTATGACTATATCGAATTTATCATGAAAAAGGCTACTGAATTATCATGAAAAACGCTACCTATGTGGTTTTTCTAATTTTGATTTAAAATTCAAAGAATTGGGTTAATGTGAAATTAATGGTTTTAGCTTTTAATTTTTTTTTTTTTGCCGATCAGGAATTCAAATATTTATATATCATCGTATATAAATAGAAAGTTCAAAATTATCTTTTTATTCACTATTCTATTTTTTAAAAAAATTTTAAATTTCTTTTTATTGTTGAAAGTTTAACTTAATTCTTTATTTAACTTCTTCAATTTATTGTTAATTGAAAGAACATTATGGTATTCCATTGCTTTGTTTAAGTCGTTTACTTGTTTATTTCATTTTATATTTTGCTTAGCTTAGTTTTATTTTATTTATTTTTATAGGAATTTAAACTGTGTGCAATTTCAAAGGATTTAAATATGTTTTTATGCAATGATGAAATAACTATTATGTTTTAATAAGTTTTTTTAATTATATACTTCCAATTAGATAAATCTCTACAAAATAAAAATTAAGTATTTATATTATTTTAAATACCTACAAAACTTTATATTTACTAGTAATTCCAGTTATTTTTTCCCTAAAAAATGAATTTTTATAATTTACTCAATACATATATCTTATATTTGAAATGAAAAATATAATTATTATACAATCGTGCGAAGTACGAAGGATCGCCTAGCATATATATAATCTTAAAACAAAAAAAATCTTAAAAATGTTGACTCGGCTCTCTACTTTTTCAACATTTATGTTTTTCGTTTTTTTATATAAATTTTCTACATTTTTAATGTATTTCTTTCTTTTTTTTTTCGAGTTTTACAATTTACAAACTATTTATTATAAGTTATTTATGATTTTGAAATTTTCATTTTGTTATGATTTTGAAAATCTTATTTTGTTACTTTGTTATTTTGTTCTAACTATCTATATGTTAAATAAAATATATAAATGGTGATGTCTATGTTCTAATCTTTTATCTCTTATTGAAACTACTCCATTGGAAGTTAAATGTCTCTCTCCATTGTTTTGTCTTTTGAAGGTCTGCCTTTAATAGCATGGATAAGAGATTGGAGAAGCAATAAGAGAGTAGAAGAGACGTGTACGTATAGTCGAAACTCCATAGTAAAATGTTGGAAGCAAAGTAGCCATGCATGCATGTGATTTGGATTACCTATTTTCAGAGCAAACCTAAATTGCCCAAATTTAACTGTTGAAAACTTAAAAAGGTCTCCATTCAACTAATTTGGCAATTGGAAACCATGAATGTTAGTTATGTTAGTTAATTTTTTGTAATAATTTCTTTTTCACGTGAAAAATTTCTTTTTTGTAAATCAGAAAATTTACTTCCTTTTCACGTGAATTTAACATTTATTTAACATATCATATGCAATAAATAACTGTAATTATTTTCAGTTCTTTATAGTTAGCGTATCTTGCCTCAAATTAAATTAAAAGAAATAAAGCTGGAAACTGTAAGAATCCGAATTTCATTTACATAGGGCAACTATAGTAATTCTTTTTGGTACTCTGGAAAGAACCATTTATTTGATTAGTTGCAATAAAAAAAATATATATATAAATCAATAAAAAAAATATATATATAAATCAAATCTCTTCGATAGTTCTGTATATAAGACATGAAATCTAATTGAATGACCATATATAAATTTGATTATGCAATAAAAAAAAGTTTTTATAGATAATGTACACACTAAAGTACAAATTATAAAGTCATTAAGACCAAAATTACATCAATCAATTAAAGAATGGCGGGAAGGGATTTTGAACACTTAAATCTGAGATATTTTAATTTTAGATACTGTGCTTTGGCTATTAAGCCAAAATTTCATTACATTTGTTATCTTTATTGTCCACTTAATCTAAATTTATTATTACTAATTTATATTCGCCGCTCCAATAAATAAATAAAGTCATGAAATATAACAGATTGTCGACAAAATCATTTTCAATTTTGGCAAGTGTAACCTCTTCTCCAATAATTAATTACAAACCTGAAATTCATTAACTCTTAACTCTCTCTATATATAAAGCCTATCAAGTATCAGCATTCCTACCTACACTACAACAAATTATTTATTAAAAAATGTTATCCAATTCTCTGCTCTGCCTCCTACTCGTTATAGTTAGTGCCTTAGCCATTACACCAGAATTATCAAATGCTGCTACTGACCAAAGCCAAAATGACCAGGCTTCTTCTCCAGATTCAGCATCCAACACAATAACCTACCATGGAGGCCCTCTTTTAACAAACAAGAGTGGCATCAATGTCTATATTTTATGGTATGGAGAATTCTCTGCAGAAGACAGAACAACCATAACAGATTTCTTTGCTTCTTTTGATAACAAAGAAGTCAAACAAGAACCAAGTGTCTCCACATGGTGGAAAACAATCGATTCTTACAAAGACAAAGATAAAAACCCAGTTTCTGCCATTTTTAAACTCACTAAACAAGTTGACGATGCATATTCTCTAGGCAAGAGCATTAAACGAGAAGGAACAAGTGAGATTGTAATCGATCAAATAAACAAGAAAACGTTACCAGTTGATGCTGATGGCATGTACTTAGTTTTGACCGCTAGTGACGTGACTGTGGATGGATTTTGCAGAGGTTCTTGTGGTTTTCATGGAACTCTTCAGATTGACAAGGCTAAAATAGTTTACGCACATGTGGGCGACGCGTCAAATCAGTGCCCTGGTTTGTGTGCATGGCCTTATGCATTACCGGATTTTGGTCCGCCTGGACAGAAGCCATTAATGGCGCCAAATGGATTAGGAGGTGATGGGTTGATAATGAATATTGCAACTGTAATTGCAGGAGCTGCTACTAATCCTTATAAGAATGGGTATTATCAAGGTGATATTAAAGCGCCATTGGAAGCTGTTAGTGCTTGTCCTGGAATTTTTGGTGCTGGTGCTTATCCAGGAAATCCTGGAAAGTTGATTGTGGATGAAGCTAGTAATGCTAGTTTTAATGCTTATGGTGCTAATAATAAGAAATTCCTCCTTCCTGCAATTTGGGACTTAAATAGCAACACATGTAAGGCCGTTAACGCTGCTCCTGCTTGATTTTAGAATTTATTCACTGCAACAGAAGATATTGAAGGTTATTGGTTTAATTAAATCAAAGTTATGTAGAAACTGTTAAGATTAGCTATTGAAAGTTTGCAGATTGCCTTAGTGGGATGTAATTTCTATTTCTTTACCTTTCTCCCTATTTCCGTTTTGATTTTTCAACTTTGAAAAATTTATCGAGTTCTTATGTTAACAGATAGACCACCAATATCCGTTCCAAGGCTAGATATGACTCATGGCAAGTTACTCTCTTAAGAGAGTTGTCCTTGTGTTTAGTCTCAAAAAGGAGAGAAGATGTGAAAAATTAATTGAAGACTCGGAGAATTGCAAATAATTCCCACGTGAAAATGTTACTGACAGCGACAGAACTTAAGACTAGAACAGTAAATATCGCACCGATACAATGACAAAATTATATCAAATGATTCATACCACCCATACATTTAATTTAAACATGCATTTTTTTTTTTTTCCAAAAGAATACTAATTTTTTCCATTGCCGCTTGTGATTTTCTCAAATACAATGAACATGCCTTACAAAATGAGGGAGGCTTCTCATTATTAACCCCATCAAAAGCTGAAGTTGTTTATCTGATAAATAAGATGCAATTGGAGGAAAAACCTCTAAGAATGTGTTTCAAATTCTAACAAAATAGAATCACTGCTTATCATTATTCCTTCTCAATGATTTCTAATACTCAACACCTTTGAACGGAACTCCTTGTTGGGTTATCAGTCAGATGGGCCAATCATTTTATGGGGCACCACAAGACTATCAAATTCTTCACTGGTAAGCACCCCAAGTTTCAATGCGGCTTCCTGCACGATTAAATTTTGAATGGTTTTCAGCAATCTAAAGTTGCCATGAGGATTCAGAAACAAAAGTGTCATAGACAGAATTGCATATTAAACACAAAAGATGATATATTACAAAAACAATTTTCTTTACAAATTACAACAATACAGGTATTCTCCATCATTGAAAAGACAAATGATTTTTAGATGCCAGAATGTCCTTCACAGCAGAAGAGGAAAAATATTTGGAGATTTTTTTTTTTCCCATGACATAAGGCAATTTAGTTGAAAGAACATCACATTGAACACATATACATCAGAGAGAGAGCAGATAAAGTTGAAAGAGGTTGCAGAATAAAAAAGATACAAGAAATTATCACCTTTAGAGTACTTCCTTCCTTGTGAGCTAGCTTGGCAACTGCTGCAGCATTGTCGTAACCAATTTTCTGGAATAAAGGGGGGTCATGTAAAAACTGTTTGAAGCACAGAACAAAGAGAATTTAAAGATTAACAAGGGACAAAAACTTACAGGATTCAAGGCTGTGACAAGCATTAGTGACTGCAAGACCAGGCAAATTGACACATGGTAAGAACACACCAAATGCACCATTAATCCAAATTTCTGTATTTAGCAAGAAACTACCTCATGAAGTAATTTTGAAATTCTTTCCCGATTAGCTTGAATTCCCCTCACACAGTTCTTTTCGAAGGAAGCAGATGCATCCCCAAGCAATCTCACAGACTGCCAAGAAAGAACCAAAACACATAGTTCAGAGAGATCAGAAACATAATTGAGCGAAGAACTGCTGGTATATTCAGCAATATAAGGCTACTCATTCAAACCAACCAAGAAAACATCAGCTTTCTTCAATGGCCACCATGAAACACTAGAACTTTTTGCATGCACAACATCTAGAACTGCCATAGGAGTACATCATAATGCATTCAATCATCTGAGAATACAAATTTCATGAACATTACTCTTGCAACTCCTTAGCTCAAAGCACTGTTTGAAAAATGCATTTAGCAAGAAACATAGAGTTTTTGTGGCCTCTAAATTGCAATTCATCAATAACTTCACAACTTGAAATTAACTCCTTTATCCAACCAAGTGTTCCAAGTTTTGCAATGTGAAACAGGGAGACTTAATTGCTTTTACATAAAGCACCTCATATCATCATCTAGGCCGGCCCCAATATAGAACATGGCATGTAACATAATACTCCAATTATTGATACTTGAACTTCTTAATTGAAATATCAACAGTGAAAAAAATAACTGGATCATAGCTATTTGACCTTTAGGAAACATATCATACATGTAAAAGATTACTAGCGATCATAGGCTTGAACACATTAAGTTCAAAATGGCCATTTGATCCACCCACTGTAATTGCCACATGATTTCCCATGACCTGCCAAATTAAGAAAAAAAGACTTATTGAAAATTCAGAGGAAATTTTCAACATGAAATAAAATAACTTAAGACATCAATCTCTCAGCAACTGCTTGCAGATGGGTTGTCCAATTGGCCAAATAATTTCAATAAATGAAAGAGAACTGCTGACATCAAAACTTACCTGAGCACAGACCATAGTTAGTGCCTCACACTGGGTGGGATTAACCTTTCCCTGAAACAAAAAAAAAAAAGATTGGTCAGATAAAAAATTATATAATTCAAAATCTTGAAATTAGCTTTAATATATTTCTAAACCCATAAAAATAAAATAAAAAAGTAAAAAAAAAAAAAAAAAAAAAAAAAAAAAAAAAATCCCTGAAGACAACAACAACAAAGATTGGTCAGATATAAAAATTGATAATAATTCAAAATCTTGACAAGATTACACTTTAATATATGTTCTAACACCCCCTAAAACATAAAATAAAAAAAGTAAAAATAAAAAAAAAATATATATAAAAAACAAAAAAAAGGATTAAAAAGTAAAAGATTTACTGGCATTATAATCTGCTCGCCTGACTCATTTTTCCGGGGAGTGTGAGTTCACAACCAAGGCCGGCATCGTGCGACCTCATGGGAACATCAAAAGAGATAAAAGCTCAAAAAAACTTAAACAATCACAAAAGAATGGGGATCAACAAAAGAGGTTAACTCAAACTACTGAGAATATACACCAATAATAACAATACACATTATGGTTTGAGCTAAGCGTTCATCAGAAGATGTAGCAATCTGTGTAAGTGTACACACTATTTCAACAAAAGCATCATGTCAGCCCTGTCAAGTATCCACATAGTAAACCAAAAAGCACACGAAATCTAATCCATGAAGAAAAAGCAGAAAAAAAGACTTCAGTGAAGAAGGATTAGCCGACAACTAAACCAAAAGGCTTCATAACATGTGTTGTTTGCTGTGGAACATAATGGTAGCATTGTTTCCTCAGCTTATTAGCTGCTGCTATTCCGAGTTTGACATCAATCTAGATCAGTGAAAAATCAGTAATAGTAATAAATCAAACGCAGAGCTTTACTCTAATGGCATTTAACATATCCCCTTCTTGATTGGTTCAATATCAGTTCCGACAGCAGTTCGAGCCTTGTGCAGCTATCAATAAGTATTATCTTCTAATCATTTAAAAAGGAATGCCAAGAAGGATACGAAATAGGATCTAGCATAATTCATGTTACCACTATCATGACTACCTGATACATGCGAGGTAGAGTACACATGATCCTATCAATTCCATACTTCACACTGAAACAACAGGCACAAACTTGAGAGTAAAACGCACAAACACAACCAAAAACGAGAACCAAAATGACAATAACAGGATGGCAACAGGAACTGTGAGGACTGTGTGGTGTAAGAGGTGTGTCCTCGACTTAAAAGAAGGAGGGTTGATTCTTGAAGTGTTGTGTACGGCCTTAATTTTGACAATATCTGTGAAAATAAATAGACTGCTTAGAAAAAGAAAATGAACATAAGTTCTGATGTAATAGAATAGTTCAATAAGCAAGTGTAATTTACACCGCTCAAAAGTTGCTATAAAGTAAAACTAACATGATAGGACGATTACACTAGAATACTAAATGGATTACCGATGAATCGAGGTAATCTAGTAGAGCGCAGTAGAAGTTCAATTCGACAACCAACAGATAATATGCAGATATCTAGAGCAAACTAGCACCAAGCTATGTCCTCAATAATATGAGGCAGTAAGGAATTCACCAATTTCGATAACAATTTGACGCAAACAAAGATAGCCGATGGATGCAAAAACCGGCAAACAAAAAGCTCCACCAAATGTCCCTAATTGTCACGACCACCAGCATAGGCTTCGTCCATGACATAAGCTTTTGACCAAACTCAGAAAGAAAGAACGAAGATATACCAATATTACCATGATTTCATGTAGAATTACATATAATAAACAGGAAGTGTCGAATTAATGAAATCATGCTAACGAGATATTATCATGGGTGAACATTAACCTTAAACATCATTTGCCAGATATTTGGTGACAGTCTTGATAGTTTGTGATTCGAGAGCATTGGACTCTCATATTATAGACCGTACAATGTCCTAGCATCCTATTGTCAAGAATCTTGAATAGAAAACCAGGAATACATTCTTCTGATCAACCACATAGCAGAAACTCGCATTCCGAGAGCATGAAATGTAAGAAAATTTTAAGTGATTAAAAAACACAATTTAGAATGTGCAGAAGAGAAATAGGCATAATTTTCAATTATTCATTGAGTTTCCTATTGCCTATTATTAAGAAAGAATAGATAAAATATAACACCTTTGAATGTAGAGTAGTGTGTAAAATTTTTCAATTCGGTATTAAATCTCGAATTTATTTCTGTTTCAGCTGCAAAATGTGCTTACTGTGCAAATAAAAGAAACAGATAGGTTAAACAACTAAAAAGAAAAATTGGGTATCAACGAGGGAAAATGCAAACATAATTGAAAAAACAAAAAAATGGAAATAAATTTAATGATCACAGCCTGAATGCTTTCAAAAGTAAGCCTCACACTTCAGTTGGCAATCATTAAGATCTGTATCGTTTGACAAGATCATTGATGCACAAATTTTTCCACCTCGCTTATCGGCCAAGGAAATCAGTCACTGCTCTATTGCAATTAACCTGAAATCACAGATAGATACCAGCAATATGAATTACAATAAAATGGCAAAAGTCATGATATGGTATGACATTTAATATCGATTAATCAAAGAAAGTCCCTAATGTTTACTGTAAAACGTCTTAAGATTATCTGTGCCAGAGATGCATTGGGTAGGCTACGAGAGTGGTGGGTATTGGATATAATCTAGCATATCCAAGACCCTGTACAGAACATTAATTTACCAACATAACCGTGCTGTGTGCCTTTTTAAGTTGTCCATTTTCTTCTTCCTTTCTTCTCTTTTTTTTTTTTTTTTTTTTTTTTTTTTTGAAGTACGTATGCTTAAAGGAGCCACACAAAAAAACTACAGTGAGAGTGCTGACCTCATTGGCATTCATGTTACTCTGAGACCACTTCAGTGTGCCATACAACAAGTGGAAAATGATTCATTTAAACTCCCTTCAGCTACTTCTTGGGGGCGGGGCTTTCATTATTGCTTTCCTATGGATGATCAAGACCATACTACCATGTTCAACACTGTGATAGTACAAAAGTAACACTTACTTAAGTAAGCAATTTGGATATCAATTGAGGAACAAATATCAAACACTTCATTACTCAAACTGCAGCGCATTTCTTCAGAATGCCAAAAGCACGAATAATCGGTTTCAGGCATCTGCTCACAGCTCCACCGCCTATTTCAAAGATTTTGCCATGATCTTTGAAGTTTGTTGCAACACCCACAATACAGGATACAAAAATCAAACAATTGATATAATTAGAGTAAATAAGGGAGAAAAGCGAATCTGAAAACTTAAAATAAAAAAAGGAACTTGAAATACGAACTTATCAGAAGGAACTTGAACTCGGTCCAAAATGTCCTCTCTCTCTCTCGTAAAGGCAGTAGAATACAATCTCGCTCGCAAAAAGCAATGAACCGATCGACTGCTGAAGAAGTTGATTCCATGCGAGAGCCAGCCGAGCGACAACCTCCTGTAAGCCATTTTTTCCTTCAACTAATCCTACACACACAAAAAAATCAGTGCCCAGAAATATTAAAGGTGATTATATACAGCAATAGATTATGAGCTGAAATGAAGAATTGGAGAACGTAGAGAGTCGAGGAGTTTTGCTTACCGGAAGCAAATGACAGGACGGGTTTCAATGGAATACTAGTAAACGAAAAGATTGCGGCTTTAGCGTGAACTGTGACAGGCAAGGTGACGCGCGGAAGCGGTTTTTTATTCAATTAGCGTGCTGCCTAATTGCTTTTAAGGTTGATTCTGGTCATTGGCCGGTAATGGTCATATTGGTACATTGGGAGGGCCCACGCACGCACGTGTCGTGCTTTATTAAAATTCAAAGAGAAATATATTTAATCTCTATGACAAATGAACTACTTAATCCTATATTTCAAACAGATATAATTTTTTCACTGATTAAGTTTTTACCAGGAAAAATATCTAACGTCAGCCTTTAAAAATACTAATTATTTTTTTCATTAAAAATAATGAATTTTATTCAATTGGTGAAAAATATTGTATTATCTTGTTAGTTTTTTTATAAGAAATTATATGCATGAAGTAATCAACATATATACATCCTTAATAAAGCAATATAAATAATTCGATGACATAAAAGCTGACAAATATATCTCATATACAACGCTTCGTAAAAAGTAAAATTTAATTCCTGTAATTTTTAATGAAATTATACCATTTATAATTATTCATCATTCATTTATAGTCTTTTTTAGCGATAATAAATTTATGTTCGAAATTAATGATTCAAATTTATTCATTAACTTTTTTTAATATATTCACATCGAAAAGAAAATGTAAAAAACGACGAAAACTCAGTTGAAAAGAATTGTCTTCATTCTTTTGATTTGCTGAACCGCACTTAAACCGTATTAACATAGAATGAAATGTTCAGCAATGTATTTTCTGCTATTACTCAAGTGAATTATGGTGGACCACCACATCATCTTTCCATTAAGATCCTCCTGAAATCCAAATGAGTTGAAGAATTCATTAACACGAGAATGAAAGAAATAAAATGAAGTGAGAGTAATTGACTGCCTCAACTCCTACTTAATGTTGCCCTATTTTGGAGGGCCTATAGCCAACAACAAGAAAAAATCACAGTTGCACAAAGGTAGGCCATACACAGTCAATAAACGGCTCAAATGTGCTGGTAGAAGCTATTCCAATAGCCTATACTAATCTGCAAACTGCATCAAACCGCAATTCATCAAACATGTTTAATCCATATGATCATATACATTAGGATGAAAATTTAATTAAAACAAAAAGATCGAATTTATACATACGAGCGTACTGTAATTCCTTTTGCTATGAGAAATTTAAGGTAGCAGACACAATTTTGGCCTAAAAATATTGTTTACTACATTATGTTAGGTATAAGGTTTACAGCATTGTTTTTTCTTACATATCTTTCCCAGCCATCAGATCTGATCAGGCATCAGAAGATCAAGAATCAAGTGGCTTTTTATGATAAAATAAATGATGTCTAACATACTAACACTTTCTCTTATTATACATTATTAATTATAGTATCTCTAATTACTAAAATGCTAACTAATGCACTCATTGTGATCTCTTATTCTACACAACATTAAGTTTAGCTTCTATAATTACCTATAAATATGAATAGCTCTTCGACAGAAGATAGTAATTTAAAATCTCTAATTTTTGTATAAAAAAATTTTGAAGTTTTTGAAATTCCTTTTTTTAATCTTATGTCCCTAAATTTCAACTTTTTCTATATTATATTTCAGATTGATTCAGTTTTTCAATTAGGATGTGTGGAATTTATTATAAAAAAATAAAAAGATTTAAAAGGATTAAATATCCAAATGTGAAGTCTTAGAAAGTTAAAATAATTTAAATTTAAAATACACAAAATTT